TAATACCACTGTTATATCTCCCCCGCGTTTTGAAAGACATATAGGAAATTTTTTGCCTTTGGTCTAGTACAGGATATACATTCTTTACGCCTTTGTTGAGGCGGCATCAAATTCCTTTTGACTTGAATTAAGGGTTTAGATTTATGATACCTTTGTTAAAGCAATTTGCCACTTCGGTTTAATTACGCCTTTGTTGAGATGGCCAAGATTACCTACACTTGCGTTTAAGCAATATAAATTTATAGGCCTTTTGTTGCATTTGGTTAAAATACATAAAATGTTTACGCATGCTTTTTGTCCAAGCAGCATAAGTACCTCTACGCTTTTGGTGAAGCGGTATAGATTTACGATGTTTTTCTTGAACTCATGCAATCTAGATTTATTTACGCTTTTGTTGAAGCGATATACGCCTCCCAGTCTACGCTTTTGGTGAAGCGCTATGAGATTTACGCTGTTTTATTGAACTGACCTAGATTGGTTTACGCTTTTGTCGAAGCGATATAAGATTACCCAGTCGACGCTTTAGGTGAAGCGATATATAGGTTTATGAATTAAGATGCTTTATTGAACTGGTTTAAATCTACTTCCGCTTTGGGTGAAGCAACCTCTGAACGCTTTTGGTGAAGCAGTAGGGACTTACGATGCTGAATTGAACCATGCAATCTAGATTTATGCTTTTGTGGAAGCCATATAACTTACTTCTACGCACTTTTGGGGCAGCAGTGTAATTTATGATGCGTTTGCTGTACCAGTCTAGATTCATTTACGGCTTTTCATTTGTAGGTGTGCGAGTATAGGTTACCAGTCCATACGCTTTTGGAGAAGAGGTGTGAATTTAAGTTTTTGTTGAGGCAATTTCCCATTTACAATTTATTTACGCTTTTGCATTTAGTTGAGACGAACAAAATTGCTGGCTTGCGATCCAGCGATAGAAATTCATGGTGCTTTCCTTGAAGTCTTAAAAAATTGTTTACGTTTTTCCTCAAACCGGTATAAGTTTCACGTACCTCTAATGCTTTCGTGAGGCGGTATGGATTAATGCTGCCTGTGTTCCAGCAATATAGCTCACCTATGAATTACGACCGGTCACCGGTGTAAACCCGGACTTACGCTCCTGATGAATATTGTGATTTTTATAGATTCTGCAACACATATAAACGAACTTCAATGTTGTAGAAATCAAACAAACTTTAAAAAATATATTCTGCGTTGTTACGTACCAGGCTTAGATTCGGATTGTTCTACACGCCGTGGATTTATGATACGTTTATTTACGTAATTACCCATTTGGGAGTACTTAGCTATATTTTTCGTTGAGGCGACCAAAATAGGGGCGAATCTACGTCTTGGTGGTAGCGGTATTAAAACGTTTTAGAACTATTTATGAATTATGCACTTGTTAAAGCTATAGATTACGTTTATTGTTTACGGGAAATCATCTGCGCTTTGCTCCACCGGAATTATGTGCCTGGCGCACACTTTCTTTCGATTTTTGAATCTTTGGATTAAAGATCTCCCTTTCTCTTTGGACAAACTCACTGATCCCTCCCGTTATGTTAAAAAGGACCACTACCAAACAGTCATGCATGACAAGAGTGGTTACGATCACGTTTTCCCTACCAAGCGTAGTCAGGCGTTTTTCGGTCTCCAATGATTTTCCCCCGTTTGTGCTAATCGGTCCGCTTCTAAAGTTTCTTCAAACCCAACGCTGCCCGTTCTCTGTCGTCGTTCCGGATCTTAAACACAGGCGCTACTGGTGGCCGTTACTAAAACATCGTTGTTCTACTTCATTCATGTTGGGAAAAAGGGCGCTATTGGTGTCTTACTTTTCCCTGATTAAGGATTTTCGGCTTCAGGACCCGCCCACTGCCATGGGACCTGTGGGTCTTCAGGATCCCTTCTGCATACTAACGTTTCCGTACTGTTCAGGCACGTGTACTGTAATGTTCCTCGTTTGTGGAAACCAGCTGAATGTTGCCCAAAATGCCATTATGCTAACGATGTGGATTTCAACGGTGTGGATTTCAAAACAAACATTCCATCGAGTTTATTCACCAAACGTTTCCATATATAGATTTACCGAATATCAACGCTCGCTTCCAATCCCTCCAGTCCGTCAGAGGCCAAAAGCCGTACGAGTGTCAGAAGTCCCGTTTACAGGAAGACTTGGAGGTATTCTTGGCGTCTCTTCCACAGCCAAAAACGTTGATTTCTGCTTCAACTGGGGATGTGATCCGCTTCCTGATTTGAAAACATAAAACAGGTTAAACAAACGTTTTGATTCAGACGCCTGTCCATTTTTGGGTACCTCTATTGGACGTGCAACCTGCAAGTGTCCTACCAGGCTCGCGTCAGGTACGACCGACAACTATATAGCCAAGTTAAAGACAATATTTACATCGCTGGGCCCTCTTGATCGCTCTGATGTCCCTTCCGTGGGCTTTGGTAACCCAGCTAGTCACCCAACTGTCTCTAATTATCTGAAGTCTGTCTGCGAAGAACAAGTGATGCCAAAACAACCCGTTCCTTTGTTCTTTGACAAAATTTTTGGCATTGTGTAATTCAATCAAGGCGTCTTTATCACAACATGATATTAGCCTTTTTCTGCCTAGATCTCTACTCCGGCGATCGTGTTTCTCATTTAGAACGCTTGAAAAGGAATAATGTGTCTGCCTGGTAACGAGGGTTTCTTAAATCGCCACACCTGCGGTAAGACACTTCGGGGAAAGCACACCCATGTGTTCGCTGTGAAGCCTTCCCCTTCGCCATCCTCCTGTCCCCGATCGCTAACCTTCAGTTATACGTCCTCCTGTGTGACAGAATGCACGTCAACCTACGCCAGGGTTTTCTATTTCGCTCCACGGACCCTAAAGGTTGCGTTACTAACGCTCTTTTCTTGGCTCGGCTGTTACCAATCGTCTAAAGAAGTACCTCTCCAATTTAAACCTCGATGAAGGCGAGACCACCCACAGCTTCCGGGCAGGTTGTTCTATAACGTTGTCACTACTGGGCGCCTCCGACGAAGCTATAGCTAAACACATTGGTTGGAGGAGTGTCGCTACCGCACAATATTACACCCAAACGGATGCGGTCATGCATCCTACCCAAACCTCTTCTATCTTAACCACCGGCGCTTCTGCTTCGTCCGCCCTCCAAGATTCCCGCATGCGGCAACTTGGAGAAACCTTTCGAAGCAAGCCTTGCCTTGAAAGAAGCCTTGCCATAATGCTAGATAATATAACGCTTGTATAATATATCAAGTTCATATTTTTTCTGAGTATTGGAGAGAGTATTTGCACAGTAAACGCGAAAGGATTGATCAAATGTTGTTTCAGAGCCAGCGAAGCTCGGGCGTGAAAATCATTTTGTCCCCATTCTTAGTTTATTTTCAGCTATGGTATTGTGCAGCGGGGCGAACAGTGAGAATATATTCATATTCTCACTGGGCGCTTCGCTAAACAATACCATATTAATGCGTTAAAACTTAATGCAAATATAAGCAGAATCAGAGTAATCGCATGAATAAACACGGTTGGTATAAAAGACCCGGAAAACAGCAAATTTTCACATTTTGCCACGAAGACGACCTGGCTGCATATACAGGAAGGAATTTTCGTCCCACCCACCTCCCCTCGGCTGCGACACCGTCTCCTCGCCGCACTTTACTCTTAGCTGAAAATCATTTTGTCCCCATTCTTAGTTTATTTTCAGCTATGGTATTGTGCAGCGGGGCGAACAGTGAGAATATATTCAAATTCTGTCAGCTGTTAATTAGCCAAGCAAGTGAAACAACTTAACAGCTTAGTATACAAAGAAGACCATTTTTAAACGCTAATTTTCGCATTTCGCTCACCTTAATTTTCAAGAAAACTGAGATTGATGATTTTACCTGGATTAGATGTATTAGAGGATCTTGTAACGTTGCCTATAAAGAAAATAAATGTATGTAAATGCATGTAAATGTGTGCCATAAACGTAACTGGCTGCAAATAAATTTTGAAACGGGATAAAAAACGGCAAACAAGATCCGAAAAGATTATGTTAAAGAAGCGAAGAGCTGTCAAACTTAATTTTTGTATCAACTATATACCTAATTAATAATGTTAGTTTGTACAATCTTTTCGACAACGAATATTCGTCTAAAAACTGTTTTACACATCTGCAGTCGTATCGTAGCGAGATGTGGCGTATTTCCTTGTTTAAGTATCGTAGCAAAACGTGGTGAATCTTTAATCTTTATATCTCATCGATTCATTTTACGCGCGATTCGTTGCAATGCGAAACGGACCTAAAGCCTTATTGAATGCATGGTTTGTTTCTGACAATCATGCTAAGGGTTAATTTGAATCGATTTGATCGATTGAAAAACCTGCTATTCGTCGGATAACCGCATCTGGGCAGTGAAATATCAACATTGAGTACCAATTATTTATTACCTGGATTAGTAGTGGGTGGAATGGTGCCTGTTAAGAGAAAAGGAAATTCATTTATGTATTTTTTTATGTAATTTATGCGGCGGCGTAGGGGAGGGGAATATTTATATATTCAGTTCTATACCCGACGGAAGCTCGCCCCACAAATTTCGTTCTAGTTACGCCACTGAATTTATGTCAAAATATTTTTCTTATGCTTAGCTCCTTGAAAGGCCAGTAATAATGATAAAGATTACATGTTAACGAATAACTCAATTAACCTATGGATTATTTCATTTCAACTATGTCTCTCAAACGAGCCGCTGCTGACGTCGACCAGGTCATTGCATGAAATGTCAAATTATATAGCTCAAATAGACAAGTGCCTTATAGCATCTTGGTCGTGTTGAAGATTATTAAGTTTATTATCCCTTGCTTATCGCTGCCAGTATATACTGCAATCGGTACAATTATACTGCAAGCGTTTGAAATCAGTTCAAATAAAATAAGTGTCGCCTTTTTTTGGATTAAATTTTATCGATCAGTTCATCTTATCAGATCAGATCAGTTCTTAGATATTAATTTTACCTCGACTTGATGTATTAGAAGGCGTCGTATCTGTTAATAAGAAATATATTAATTTTTGCACATCCTCAAAGATTGTAATGACCGTTTAAATTTTGTCATATGTTAATTTGCCAAATTAAACAGTGAAACGACTTAACAGCATAATATACAAAGAAGGCCGTTTTTAAAACCTAAAAGTCGGCTCAGTTCAATTTTCAAGAAAAAGATTGATGATTTTACCTGGATCAGATGTATTTGAAGGTCTTGTCACGTTGCCTACAAAAAAAACCAAAAAACTGAAAATTTTAAAAATTGGTAACAGTTTTCTGACCTTTTCTCTCAATGCACGAACCACGGATTGTCTTTTGCTTTGCGCCAAAAATGTGACTGGCTGCAAACAATTTTTGAAACGGGATAAAAAATGGTAAAGAAGGACAAACAAAATGAAATTTTTAGAGAATATAGCGGTTTGTGTCAGAAAATTTTTTTTCTTCCAGTTAGGAGCAAATTCTTTACGGTTTCCTAGGATGCTTTTGTTGCTCTGACAATTTCTTGACCGATCTTGACAATCTCTCAGCGTGATATTTTTTCAACTATTTCGGACTTTCGCACTGATTCCTCTAGTGTCGTTAGTGTCGGGGGGGGGGGCAATTAGTCAAATATTCACCTTTGGCAATATTAGTTTATTATGAAATTGATTGTTTTTACGCTATATAAATATTTGCCCTCCTATATCTTCCCTGGCCTCTGTTTTCTAGATAAATATTGAATTTTTCAAGCAACACAAAAATGCTTAAAAAAAATAAATATTTAGATATTAATCAACAAAAATAATTTATTGATCGATCGAAAAACTTGCTATTCGGTGGATAGCGCCATTCGTCGAATAACCGCGACTGGGCAGTGAAACATCAACATTGAGTACCAATTATTTATTACCTTGATTAGTAGTGGGTGGAATGGTGCCTGTAAAAGAGAAAAGGAAATTCTTGAATGTATTATTTTATGTAATTTATGCGGCGGCGTAGGGGAGGTGAATATTTATATATTCAGTTCTATACCGCGGAGTAGCTCGCCCCACAAATTTCGTTCTAGTTACGCCACTGAATTTATGTCGAAATATTTTTGTTATGCTTAGCTTTTTGGAAGGCCAGAAATAATGATATAGATTACATGTTAACGAATAACTCAATTAACCTATGGATTATTTTATTTCAATTATGTCCCTCATGCGACCCGCTGCTGACGTCGACCAGGTCATTGCATGAAATGTCAAATTACGTAACTCAAATACACAAGTGCCTTATAGCATCTTGGTCGTGTTGAAGATTAAGTTTATTATCCCTTTCCTCATCGCTGCCAGTATATACTGCAATCGGTAAAATTATACTGCAAGCGTTTGAAATCATTTCAAACAAAATAAGTGTTGCCTTTTTTAGATCAAATTTTATTGATCAGTTCATATCTTAGATATTAATTTTGCTCGACTTGATGTATAAGAGGGCGTCGTATCTGTTATTAAAAAATATTTTATTTTTCCACATCCTTAAAGATTGTAATTACCGTTTAATTTTTGTCATATGTTAATTTGCCAAACAATGGAAACGACTTAACAGCATATTATACAAAGAACACCATCTACAAAAGCTAAAAGTTCCCTTAGTTCAATTTTTAAGAAAAAGATTGAAGATTTTACCTGGATTAGATGTATTAGAAGGTCTTGTCGCGTTGCCTATAAAGAAAATAAAATAACTGAAATTTTCTAAAATTGGTAACAGTTTTCTGACCTTCTCTCTCCTTTCACGAACCACGGATTGTCTTTTAATTTGCGCCATAAATGTGACTGGAAATCAGTCGCTGATATTCAAATAACATGCAAAATATGTATTCGCACTCGATAGATGATATTACTGAAATTGCCTTCATCAAAGGTTTGCAGAATACAGAAATGAAAAGTTGCTGAATACAAATAACATTGCTTTAGTTCACGATATGTTTTTGATCAATGTTTTTTTAAACAGAGGATTTTTACCAGTGGGGTGGGGTCGGGGAAAACATGAGGATAAGGCCCCTCATGATCTATATGTTAAAAGAGGCCCAATATGACTAGATCTGATTGTAGCAAATTAGGTATGAAGCCATTTTACATGCTATTCCATCTCCACTAAAGCCAAAGTTGCAAGAACAGTCGAACGACCCATTGGTATTGCGACATGATGCTTGAGAATGACAGTTATCAATTCCAAGTTCACATTCATTGATATCTAAGATATTACAATATAAAATACATAAACTCCCATATTTTTAACGGTTAAATCTATGTTTTTTTAACCAAATAGAGGAAATTAAATTGCAAGGGAATTATGAATTATCCTCGTCAATTTTTTTGCAAAATATTACCAAATACCATGCAAATAATTAGTATAAAGATGTAAACCTGTGCAGGTTACGCCATCTCCGGTATAACCGTTTTCACAAATGCAGTAAAACGATTCATTCGTATTGACACATGACGCTCCAATAGCGCAGTTGTGTGTTCCAAAGTAACATTCATTTACATCTAAAATATAATATTTACATAGACATGCATTTTTAGAATACTTCAATTTTACTACCAGGCAGTTACTCTGACTCAGAGTGTCAGTCTGTTTTGTTCTTAACCCTAATTTTCTTACGAGCAGAAAATAGAACAAACTTTTATAAGTTTTAATATTTTCTTGCCGATATATTTTGAAACTTATTTCTTACCTAATGGTGTTGAATAGTTCAGAACAAATCCCGGTGCTGACACGCTATAATCCGAGTGAAACACGATGAAGAGTTTGAGTCCAGATGATACCAGGCTTCTTGGTAATTGGTTTCCACAGAATCTGCCCAGTTTCGTCGTATTTGCTGAATCTCCATCATAAACTTCCAAATAGTCAAATCCACAACTGTAACTACCTTCCAGCTAAAACGTCATGCATTTTTTGTAAATTATTTGTCAATTTTGCACATACGAATTAAATTGATTTTAAACTGTTTAAAGGTTTAAACTATACTATTCTACGAATTTCTAAGTTCAGTCAATGAAAGATTGCTAATATTCAATTGATAGTGCAATCGTCTGCTGATTAGCTCAAAGTGTACGGATATTTTTGAATGTTCTCGTTGTTGTCTGTTGAGGTATTTGTCGCGCCAGCTTGTTATCTTTTCTACACAATGAAATTTGCCATGAAAAGGCTTGTTTTTTTTCGAAATTCAATAAATAATAAGACAATTTTTCAAGTCGGCTTTCGCAAGTTATCTAGGATATACTGACATTGACCTCTGCCTGAACATTCCGGATACCCTGCGCTCCCTCATCCAATAATTATATTGGAATCGTCACTTCCGGTGAAATGGAGCTAAGTGTTTGGTTGAGAAGAATTTACTTCCATATAAAATTCAGCTATTTATATCATAATATTTCCGCTCATGCAGTTGTCCAATAAAAAGATAATTTTGTTTTCCACTTTAAACTTATAAGCCTTTTAAGCTAAACGACTTAAACGACCATAGAACAACTTAACCCAGACAGTTTAGGCCGAGTTTACGTAACCCAAATAATTTAATGTTTTGTTTTTGTTTTTATCACTGCGTGCCAGGCTAATAATACGAATTCATGCATTTCTTGTTTGTTTCAAGTGCAAATATATGCCTTATGCCATATAATAAATATTTTATTAACCTCGTTTGCTCGATCTTTATCGCGAGAAATATCGGTCTTCGATATTTTTGAACAAACCTTGGTCTTTGAGCTCGTTCCGTTCAAAAAGCCCTCGGTCCGATATTTCTCGGTAAAGATTTCACCTCGGTTAATAAGAAGTAAATATTTGAAGAGTAAAAAAATTTTTAATCTTGAACTGTTCTAGGAATAGGATATTAAAAAATATTTTTCCTTTTCGAGAAAAGGAAATAGTTTTTATAAAAAAATCTGGACATTTAAAGTACTAAAATTATCAGCCCAGTAGATCAACTACTTCTTGATGCCAAACCTATAAGCGAGGCATAATTTTTTTCTTTGATATATTTATGTTCACTGACTGTAAAAACAATCAATTTGAAAAGAAATGAATAAGCTATTTAGAAAACGATTACGTGAGTATGCTCCCCCCCCCCGCCTATAAAGCTCGCAACGCCTCTGTTCTTTGTATTAGTTAAACCGTTTGATTTTCAATTGAACTGCGAGCGAATTAACATATCTTTCTCGACAAAACTTGAACGTTAATCGCACTGATACAGCAAGATGGGGGAAATATCGCAAAAACGTTAGTGGATGAAGATCAATATTTAGGAAAAGAATATTGATATAAACATATTTGCATGATGTTACTATGCAAACGTACAAGAATATTGATAAAGTTTACGACTGAGCGGGAAAAGAGAAACGATACACTAGCTGACGCGTAAGCAGTGTTTCGGGATAAAAATGATAAAACGATGAAGTTATTCGAACAAAAACATGTTATGTCGCTAAGGTTTTTTCGCCCAAACAGGGCCGGAGGAGCAATAAATTAGGTAAAAGTAGCCTACCAAGAATGAAGTAAACTGTAGTAAAATTTTTCTTCCATTGGTGCTGGAAATGGTCCAACTGCAATCCAAGTAGTGAGGGTATGAAAGGGGATAAAGAGGGCTTGTGAGTTTTCCAGGAGGATACAGTTGACTTTCGCCGCATAATTCTGGAAATATTATTCACACAAACTTATTGAAGGATAGAGCAAAGTGGAATTTATCGCCGATTATTTATTATTAGAATAGTAAATAGGAACATGTTCAAACTTGAATTAGCCTAGACCTATATAGGGGCAAAAGAGCATTAATTGAGGTAGGGAGCACATATTCATATCTTCATGTTCGGCAATATTAGTTTCTCATTCCTCAATGCAAAAAATAATGAAAACGCAATGACAAAGCCCTGTTTTCGAATATGCATCGTTAATAATAATTACTAATAGGTACTGTTACCTGGCGCTGATGTCGTAAAATTTCGTGGAATGTTTTTCGCTGTGAAGAAATAAATTAGTATAATTATTCTCCCGCATCAACTTATTTTGTTTTAGTTTGTATACTATTTAATTATGACTGCAATTGGAAACTATGGATTCCTTGTGAGTCTTGTAACAGTCATGCTAAGGGTTAATTTTTGTCTTAACTTCAACGAAATAAAAAAGATATCAAATTCAAGCGAAGAACTGCTGAGAAAAATGTGTCAACTATGGACGATTAAATCTTTATTAGCCAACACCTACGGCGGATTGCATGCATGTACGAAGGCTGGATATTCCTTTACATAGCAGGGGCCACGAAAGATCGTTAGGTTCGCGGAGGGGGGGAAATTATTCATATTTTCGGGTTAGCAATATTAGTTTCCTACGAAATTGTTTTTTTTATCGTCAGCTGAAATGAATATATAAATATTTGGCCTCCAGTTTCCAATCTTCCGTGGCCCCTGCATCTACTAGACAATTATTGATTGTGCGCAAAAATGTTTAAAAAAGAAATAAAACATTAGGTATTAACCAACAAGTATAATTTAGATCGTTTGAAAAACCCGCTTTTCGGTGGAGAGCGCTATATCCGTCGAATAAACGCGGCTGGGCAGTGAAACATCAAAATTCACTACCAATTATTCATTACCTGGATTAGTAGTGGGTGGAATGGTGCCTGTAAAGAGAAAACGAAGTTCTTCCATATTTTATTTTATGTAATTTATGCAGCGGCGTAGGAGAGGTGAATATGCAAATATTCAGTTCTACCCGACGGGGCTGTATTTTAAGCTGTTGGACTTTCAAGTGTAATCCGTCCGGCTGAATTAAATAATGAACACTCACCCCAAATTTCGTTCTAGTTACGCCACTGAATTTATGTCGAAATATTTTACTTATTCTTAGCTCCTTGAAATGCCAGTAATGGTAATATAGATTACGGCAACTCTAGACGCACGTGTATTCTTGGAATCGGTATATACTGCCAGCGTTTGAAATCAGTTCAGACTAAATAGGTGTCGCCTTTTTGGATAAATTTTATCGATCAGTTCATATCTTGGATATTAATTTTACCTCGACTTGATGTATAAGAAGGCGTCGTATCTGTGAATAAAAAATATATTTTTGCACTCTCAAAGATTATAATCCGTATAATTTTTGTCAGCTGTTAATTCGCCAAACAAGTGAAACGACGGCACAGCATAATATACAAAGAAGACAATTTATAAAAGCTAAAATTTTACTAGCTCTGTTCAATTTTCAAGAAAAAGATTGATGATTTTACCTGGACTAGATGTATTAGAAGGTCTTGTTGCGTTAGCTATAAAAAAAACAAATAAACTTAATTTTTTACAAATTGGTAACATTTTTCTGACCTTCTCTCTCCATGCACGAACCACGGATTGTCTTTTGATTTGCGCCATAAATCTAAATGGCTGCAAATAAATTTTGAAGCGGGATAAAAAAGAGAGAATATAGCGGTTTGTATCAGAAATTTTTCTGCGTCCAGTTTGGAACAAATTCTTATCGCTTTCCCAGGGTGCTTTTTGTTGCTCTGACAATTTTTTGACCGATATGTTGACAATCTCTCAGCGTGATATCTTTTTAACTATTTCGGACCTTCGGACAAGATTCCTCTGGTGTCGTTAGTGTCGGGGGGGGGGCATTTATTCATATATTCATGTTTGGCAATATTAGTTCCTTATGAAATTGATTGTTTTTACGCTATATAAATATTTGCCCTGATGTTAACGATCTTCCGTGACCTCTGTCTTCTAGATAATTATTAACTTTTTCAAGCAGCACAAAAATGTTTAAAAAATTAATAAAAGTTAGATATTAATCAACAAAAATAATTTATAGATCGATCGAAAAACTTGCTATTCAGTGGATAGCGCCATTTATCGAATAACCGCGACTGGGCAGTGAAACATCAACATTGAGTACCAATTATTTATTACCTGGATTAGTAGTGGGTGCAATGGTGCCTGTAAAGAGAAAACGAAATTCCTCTTTATTTTATTTTATGTAATTTATGCAGCGTTGTAGTGGAGGTGAATATTCATATACTCAGTTCTACCCGACGGAGCTGTATTTTAAGCTATTGCACTTGCAAGTGTAATCCGTCCGGCAGCATTAAATATATGAATACTCACCCCCCAAATTTCAATCTAGTTACGCCACTGAATTAATGTCGAAATATTTTCTTATTCTTAGCTCCTTGAAATGCCAGTAATAGTAATATAGATATCATTACACGTTAACGAATGTCTAAATTAACCCAGCGCACTATAACAGCTAAGTCGTCCCCTACACAAATAAATTACTTCATTTCAATTATGTCGCTCATATACGACCCGCTGCTGACGTCGACCAGGTCATTGAAATATCAAATTACGCGACTCAAATACACAATTGACTTATAGCGCATCTTGATCTGGTTGAAGACTATTGGGTTTATTATCCCTTGCTTATCGCTGCAAGGTAAATAAATTGACGGTGACTCGAGGCGTGTGGCCTTTTTTGGATTAAATTTTATCGATCAGTTCATATCTTAGATATTAATTTTACTTGGACTTGATGTATAAGAAGGCGTCGTATCTGTTAATAAAAAATATATTTTTTTATATATTTTTTTACATTCTCAAAGATTATAATCACTGTTTAAATTCTGTCAGCTGTTAATTAGCCAAAGAAGTGAAACAACTTAACAGCTTAGTATACAAAGAAGACCATTTTTAAACGCCAAAAATTCGCAGTTCCCTCAGCTTAAATTTCAAGAAAAAGATTGATGATTTTACCTGGATTAGATGTATTAGAAGATCTTGTCGCGTTGCCTATAAAGAAAATAAATGTATGTAAAATGTAAATGTTTGCCATAAATGTAACTGGCTGCAAATAAATTTTGAAACGGGATAAAAAACGGCAAACAAGGGCCGACAAGATTATGTTAAAGAAGCGAAGAGCTGTCAAACTTATTTTTTGTATCAACTATACCTAATTAATAATGTTAGTTTGTACAATCTTTTCCACAACGAATATTCTTCTAAAAACTGTTTTACACATCTCCAGTCGTATCGTAGCGAGATGTGGCGTATTTCCTTGTTTAAATATCGTAGCAAAACGTGGTGAATCTTTAATCTTTATATCTCATCGATTCATTCTACGCGCGATTCGTTGCAATGCGAAACGGACCTAAAGCCTTATTGAATGCATGGTTTGTTTCTGACAATCATGCTAAGGGTTAATTTGAATCGATTTGATCGATTGAAAACCTGCTATTCGTCGGATAACCGCATCTGGGCAGTGAAATATCAACATTGAGTACCAATTATTTATTACCTGGATTAGTAGTGGGTGGAATGGTGCCTGTTAAGAGAAAAGGAAATTCATCCATGTATTTTTTATGTAATTTATGCGGCGGCGTAGGGGAGGTGAATATTTATATATTCAGTTCTATACCCGACGGAAGCTCACCCCACAAATTTCGTTCTAGTTACGCCACTGAATTTATGTCGAAATAATTTTCTTATGCTTAGCTCCTTGAAAGGCCAGTAATAATGATAAAGATTACATGCTAACGAATAACTCAATTAACCTATGGAATATTTCATTTCAATTATGTTCCTCATACGACCCGCTGCTGACGTCGACCAGGTCATTGCATGAAATGTCAAATTACGTAACTCAAATACACAAGTGCCTTATAGCATCTTGGTCGGGTTGAAGACCATTAAGTTTATTATCCCTTTGCTCATCGTTGCCAGTATATACTGCAACCGGTACAATTATATTGCAAGCGTTTGAAATCAGTTCAAACAAAATAAGTGTTGCCTTTTTTGGATCAAATTTTATCGATCAGTTCATATCTTAGATATTAATTTTACCTGGACTTGATGTATAAGAGGGCGTCGTATCTGTTATTAAAAAATTTTTATTTTTCCACATCCTTAAAGATTGTAATTACCGTTTAATTTTTGTCATATGTTAATTTGCCAAACAATGGAAACGACTTAACAGCATAATATACAAATAACACCATCTACAAAAGCTAAAAGTTCGCTTAGTTCAATTTTTAAGAAAAAGATTGATGATTTTACCTGGATTAGATGTATTAGAAGGTCTTGTCGCGTTGCCTATAAAGAAAATAAAATAACTGAAATTTTCTAAAATTTGTAAGAGTTTTCTGACCTTTCTCCTTTCACGAACCACGGATTGTCTTTTAATTTGCGCCATAAATGTGACTGGAAATCAGTCGCCTGATATTCAAATAACATGCAAAATATGTATTCGCACTCGATAGATGATATTACTGAAATTGCCTTCATCAAAGGTTCACAGAATACAGAAATGGAAAGTTACTGAATACAAATAAAATTGCTTTAGTTCAAGACATGTTTTTGATCAATGTTTTTTAAACAGAGGATTTTTACCAGTGGGGTGGGGTCGGGGAAAACATGGGGATAAGGCCCCTCATGATCTATATGTTAAAAGAGGCCCAATATGACTAGATCTGATTGTAGCAAATTAGGTATGAAGCCATTTTACATGCTATTCCATCTCCACTAAAGCCAAAGTTGCAAGAACAGTCGAACGACCCATTGGTATTGCGACATGATGCTTGAGAATGACAGTTATCAATTCCAAGTTCACATTCATTGATATCTAAGATATTACAATATAAAATACATAAACTCCCATATTTTTAACGGTTAAATCTATGTTTTTTTAACCAAAAAGAGGAAATTAAATTGCAAGGGAATTATGAATTATCCTCGTCAATTTTTTTGCAAAATATTACCAAATACCATGCAAATAATTAGTATAAAGATGTAAACCTGTGCAGGTTACGCCATCTCCGGTATAACCGTTTTCACAAATGCAGTAAAACGATTCATTCGTATTGACACATGACGCTCCAATAGCGCAGTTGTGTGTTCCAAAGTAACATTCATTTACATCTAAAATATAATATTTACATAGACATGCATTTTTAGAATACTTCAATTTTACTACCAGGCAGTTACTCTGACTCAGAGTGTCAGTCTGTTTTGTTCTTAACCCTAATTTTCTTACGAGCAGAAAATAGAACAAACTTTTATAAGTTTTAATATTTTCTTGCCGATATATTTTGAAACTTATTTCTTACCTAATGGTGTTGAATAGTTCAGAACAAATCCCGGTGCTGACACGCTATAATCCGAGTGAAACACGATGAAGAGTTTGAGTCCAGATGATACCAGGATTCTTGGTAATTGGTTTCCACAGAATCTGCCCAGTTTCGTCGTATTTGCTGAATCTCCATCATAAACTTCCAAATAGTCAAATCCACAACCGTAACTACCTTCCAGCTAAAACGTCATGCATTTTTTGTAAATTATTTGTCAATTTTGCACATACGAATTAAATTGATTTAAACTGTTTAAAGGTTTAAACTATACTATTCTACGAATTTCTAAGTTCAGTCAATGAAAGATTGCTAATATTCAATTGATAGTGCAATCGTCTGCTGATTAGCTCAAAGTGTACGGATATTTTTGAATGTTCTCGTTGTTGTCTGTTGAGGGTATTTGTCGCGCCAGCTTGTTATCTTTTCTACACAATGAAATTTGCCATGAAAAGGCTTGTTTTTTTTTTCGAAATTCAATGAATAATAAGACAATTATTCAAGTCGGCTTACGCAAGTTATCTAGGATATACTGACATTGACCTCTGCCTGAACATTCCGGATACCCTGCGCTCCCTCATCCAATAAATATTGGAATCGTCACTTCCGGTGAAATGGAGCTAAGTGTTTGGTTGAGAAGAATTTACTTCCATATAAAATTCAGCTATTTATATCATAATATTTGCGCTCATGCAGTTGTCCAATAAAAAGATAATTTTGTTTTCCATTTGAACTTATAGGCCTTTTAAGCTAAACGACTTAAACGACCATAGAACAACTTAACCCAGACAGTTTAGGCCGAGTTTACGTAACCCAAATAATTTAATGTTTTGTTTTTGTTTTTATCACTGCGTACCAGGCTAATAATACGAATTCATGCATTTCTTGTTTGTTTCAAGTGCAAATATGCCTTATGCCATATAATAATATTTTATTAACCTCGTTTGCTCGATCTTTATCGCGAGAAATATCGGTCTTCGATATTTTTGAACAAACCTTGGTCTTTGAGCTCGTTCCGTTCAAAAAGCCTCGGTCCGATATTTCTCGGTAAAGATTTCACCTCGGTTAATAAGAAGTAAATATTTAGAAAGAATAAAAAAATTTTTAATCTTGAACTGTTCTAGGAATAGGATATTAAAAAATATTTTTCCTTTTCGAGAAAAGGAAATAGTTTTTATAAAAAAATCTGGACATTTAAAGTACTAAAATTATCAGCCCAGTAGATCAACTACTTCTTGATGCCAAACCTATAAGCGAGGCATAATTTTTTTCTTTGATATATTTATGTTCACTGACTGTAAAAACAATCAATTTGAAAAGAAATGAATAAGCTATTTAAAAAACGATTACGTGAGTATGCTCCCCCCCCCCGCCTATAAAGCTCGCAACGCCTCTGTTCTTTGTATTAGTTAAACCGTTTGATTTTCAATTGAACTGCGAGCGAATTAACATATCTTTCTCGACAAAACTTGAACGTTAATCGCACTGATAAAGCAAGATGGGGGAAATATCGCAAAAACGTTAGTGGATGAAGATCAATATTTAGGAAAAGGATATTGATATAAACATATTTGCATGATGTTACTATGCAAACGTACAAGAATATTGATAAAGTTTACGACTGAGCGGGAAAAGAGAAACGATACACTAGCTGACGCGTAAGCAGTGTTTCGGGATAAAAATGATAAAACGATGAAGTTATTCGAACAAAAACATGTTATGTCGCTAAGGTTTTTTCGCCCAAACAGGGCCGGAGGAGCAATAAATTAGGTAAAAGTAGCCTACCAAGAATGAAGTAAACTGTAGTAAAATTTTTCTTCCATTGGTGCTGGAAATCGTCCAACTGCAATCCAAGTAGTGAGGGTATGAAAGGGGATGAAGAGGGCTTGTGAGTTTTCCAGGAGGATACAGTTGACTTTCGCCGCATAATTCTGGAAATATTATTCACACAAACTTATTGAAGGATAGAGCAAAGTGGAATTTATCGCCGATTATTTATTATTAGAATAGTAAATAGGAACATGTTCAAACTTGAATTAGCCTAGACCTATATATGGGCAAAAGAGCATTAATTGAGGTAGGGAGCAATTATTCATATCTTCATGTTCGGCAATATTAGTTTCTTATTCCTCAATGCAAAAAATAATGAAAACGCAATGCCAAAGCCCTGTTTTCGAATATGCATCGTTAATAATAATTACTAATAGGTACTGTTACCTGGCGCTGATGTCGTAAAATTTCGTGGAATGTTTTTCGCTGTGAAGAAATAAATTAGTATAATTATTCTCCCGCATCAACTTATTTTGTTTTAGTTTGTATACTATTTAATTATGACTGCAATTGGAAACTATGGATTCCTTGTGAGTCTTGAAACAGTCATGCTAAGGGTTAATTTTTGTCTTAACTTCAACGAAATAAAAAAGATATCAAATTCAAGCGAAGAACTGCTGAGAAAAATGTGTCAACTATGGACGATTAAATCTTTATTAGCCAACACCTACGGCGGATTGCATGCATGTACGAAGGCTGGATATTCCTTTACATAGCAGGGGCCACGAAAGATCGTTAGGTTCGCGGGGGGGAAATTATTCATATTTTCGGGTTAGCAATATTAGTTTCCTACGAAATTGTTTTTTTTTATCGTCAGCTGAAATGAATATATAAATATTTGGCCTCCAGTTTCCAATCTTCCGTGGCCCCTGCATCTACTAGACAATTATTGATTGTGCGCAAAAATGTTTAAAAAAGAAATAAAACATTAGGTATTAACCAACAAGTATAATTTAGATCGTTTGAAAAACCCGCTTTTCGGTGGAGAGCGCTATATCCGTCGAATAAACGCGGCTGGGCAGTGAAACATCAAAATTCACTACCAATTATTCATTACCTGGATTAGTAGTGGGTGGAATGGTGCCTGTAAAGAGAAAACGAAGTTCTTCCATTTTTATTTTATGTAATTTATGCAGCGGCGTAGGAGAGGTGAATATGCAAATATTCAGTTCTACCCGACGGGGCTGTATTTTAAGCTGTTGGACTTTCAAGTGTAATCCATCCGGCTGAATTAAATAATGAACACTCACCCCCAAATTTCGTTCTAGTTACGCCACTGAATTTATGTCGAAATATTTTACTTATTCTTAGCTCCTTGAAATGCCAGTAATGGTAATATAGATTACGGCAACTCTAGACGCACGTGTATTCTTGGAATCGGTATATACTGCCAGCGTTTGAAATCAGTTCAGACTAAATAGGTGTCGCCTTTTTGGATTAAATTTTATCGATCAGTTCATATCTTGGATATTAATTTTACCTCGACTTGATGTATAAGAAGGCGTCGTATCTGTAAATAAAAAATATATTTTTGCACTCTCAAAGATTATAATCTCCGTATAATTTTTGTGAGCTGTTAATTCGCCAAACAAGTGAAACGACGGCACGGCATAATATACAAAGAAGACAATTTATAAAAGCTAAAATTTTACTAGCTCTGTTCAATTTTCAAGAAAAAGATTGATGATTTTACCTGGACTAGATGTATTAGAAGGTCTTGTTGCGTTAGCTATAAAAAAAAACAAATAAACTTAATTTTTTACAAATTGGTAACATTTTTCTGACCTTCTCTCTCCATGCACGAACCACGGATTGTCTTTTGATTTGCGCCATAAATCTAAATGGCTGCAAATAAATTTTGAAGCAGGATAAAAAAGAGAGAATATAGCGGTTTCTATCAGAAATTTTTCTTCGTCCAGTTTGGAACAAATTCTTATCGCTTTCCCAGAATGCTTTTTGTTGCTCTGACAATTTTTTGACCGATATGTTGACAATCTCTCAGCGTGATATCTTTTTAACTAATTCGGACCTTCGGACAAGATTCCTCTGGTGTCGTTAGTGTCGGGGGGGGGGAAATTATTCATATATTCATGTTTGGCAATATTAGTTCCTTATGAAATTGATTGTTTTAACGCTATATAAATAATTGCCCTCGTGTTAACGATCTTCCGTGCTCTCTGTCTTCTACATAGATATTAACTTTTTCAAGCAGCACAAAAATGTTTAAAAAATTAATAAAAGTTTAGATATTAATCAACCAAAATAATTTAGACAATTCGAAAAACCTCCTATTCGGTGGATAGCGCCATTATTTATTACCTGGATTAGTAGTTGGTGGAATGGTGCCTGTAAAGGGAAAAGGAAATTCTTCCATATTTTATTTTATGTAATTTATGCAGCGGCGTAGGGCAGGTGAATATTCATATATTCAGTTCTACCAGACGGAGACTCACCCCGAATTTCTTTCTAGTTACGCCACTGAATTTATGCCGAAATATTTTTCCTATTCTTAGCTCCTCGAAATGGCAGTAATAGTAATATAGATATCGTTTCATGATAACGAATAACCCAATTACCCTATGGATTATTTCATTTCAATTATGTCCCTCAAACGACCCGCTGCTGACGTCGATCAGGTCAATGTATGAAATGTCAAATTACTTAACTCAAATACACACGTGCCTTATAGCATCTTGGTCGGGTTGAAGACCATTAAGTTCCCTTTGCTCATCGCTGCCAGTATATACTGCAACCGGTATAATTATATTGCAAGCGTTTGAAATCAGTTCAAACAAAATAAGTGTTGCCTTTTTTGGATTAAATTTTATCGATCAGTTCATATCTTAGACACCAATCTTACCTGGACTTGATGTATAAGAAGGCGTCGTATCTGTTAATAAAAAATATATTTTTTTACATTCTCAAAGATTATAATCACTGTTTAAATTCTGTCAGCTGTTAATTAGCCAAGCAAGTGAAACAACTTAACAGCTTAGTATACAAAGAAGACCATTTTTAAACGCTAATTTTCGCAGTTCGCTCACCTTAATTTTCAAGAAAACTGAGATTGATGATTTTACCTGGATTAGATGTATTAGAGGATCTTGTAACGTTGCCTATAAAGAAAATAAATGTATGTAAATGCATGTAAATGTGTGCCATAAACGTAACTGGCTGCAAATAAATTTTGAAACGGGATAAAAAACGGCAAACAAGATCCGAAAAGATTATGTAAAGAAGCGAAGAGCTGTCAAACTTAATTTTTGTATCAACTATATACCTAATTAATAATGTTAGTTTGTACAATCTTTTCGACAACGAATATTCGTCTAAAAACTGTTTTACACATCTGCAGTCGTATCGTAGCGAGATGTGGCGTATTTCCTTGTTTAAGTATCGTAGCAAAACGTGGTGAATCTTTAATCTTTATATCTCATCGATTCATTTTACGCGCGATTCGTTGCAATGCGAAACGGACCTAAAGCCTTATTGAATGCATGGTTTGTTTCTGACAATCATGCTAAGGGTTAATTTGAATCGATTTGATCGATTGAAAAACCTGCTATTCGTCGGATAACCGCATCTGGGCAGTGAAATATCAACATTGAGTACCAATTATTTATTACCTGGATTAGTAGTGGGTGGAATGGTGCCTGTTAAGAGAAAAGGAAATTCATCCATGTATTTTTTTATGTAATTTATGCGGCGGCGTAGGGGAGGGGAATATTTATATATTCAGTTCTATACCCGACGGAAGCTCGCCCCACAAATTTTCGTTCTATTACGCCACTGAATTTATGTCAAAATATTTTTCTTATGCTTAGCTCCTTGAAAGGCCAGTAATAATGATAAAGATTACATGTTAACGAATAACTCAATTAACCTATGGATTATTTCATTTCAACTATGTCTCTCAAACGAGCCGCTGCTGACGTCGACCAGGTCATTGCATGAAATGTCAAATTATATAGCTCAAATAGACAAGTGCCTTATAGCATCTTGGTCGTGTTGAAGATTATTAAGTTTATTATCCCTTGCTTATCGCTGCCAGTATATACTGCAATCGGTACAATTATACTGCAAGCGTTTGAAATCAGTTCAAATAAAATAAGTGTCGCCTTTTTTTGGATTAAATTTTATCGATCAGTTCATCTTATCAGATCAGATCAGTTCTTAGATATTAATTTTACCTCGACTTGATCTATTAGAAGGCGTCGTATCTGTTAATAAGAAATATATTAATTTTTGCACATCCTCAAAGATTGTAATGACCGTTTAAATTTTGTCATATGTTAATTTGCCAAATTAAACAGTGAAACGACTTAACAGCATAATATACAAAGAAGGCCGTTTTTAAAACCTAAAAGTCGGCTCAGTTCAATTTTCAAGAAAAAGATTGATGATTTACCTGGATCAGATGTATTTGAAGGTCTTGTCACGTTGCCTAAAAAAAACCAAAAAACTGAAAATTTTAAAAATTGGTAACAGTTTTCTGACCTTTTCTCTCAATGCACGAACCACGGATTGTCTTTTGCTTTGCGCCAAAAATGTGACTGGCTGCAAACAATTTTTGAAACGGGATAAAAAATGGTAAAGAAGGACAAACAAAATGAAATTTTTAGAGAATATAGCGGTTTGTGTCAGAAAATTTTTTTCTTCCAGTTAGGAGCAAATTCTTTACGGTTTCCTAGGATGCTTTTGTTGCTCTGACAATTTCTTGACCGATCTTGACAATCTCTCAGCGTGATATTTTTTCAACTATTTCGGACTTTCGCACTGATTCCTCTAGTGTCGTTAGTGTCGGGGGGGGGGGGCAATTAGTCAAATATTCCTTTGGCAATATTAGTTTATTATGAAATTGATTGTTTTTACGCTATATAATATTTGCCCTCCTATATCTTCCCTGGCCTCTGTTTTCTAGATAAATATTGAATTTTTCAAGCAACACAAAAATGCTTAAAAAAATAAATATTTAGATATTAATCAACAAAAATAATTTATTGATCGATCGAAAAACTTGCTATTCGGTGGATAGCGCCATTCGTCGAATAACCGCGACTGGGCAGTGAAACATCAACATTGAGTACCAATTATTTATTACCTTGATTAGTAGTGGGTGGAATGGTGCCTGTAAAAGAGAAAAGGAAATTCTTGAATGTATTATTTTATGTAATTTATGCGGCGGCGTAGGGGAGGTGAATATTTATATATTCAGTTCTATACCCGGCAGTAGCTCACCCCACAAATTTCGTTCTAGTTACGCCACTGAATTTATGTCGAAATATTTTTTATGCTTAGCTTTTTGGAAGGCCAGTAATAATAATATAGATTACATGTTAACGAATAACTCAATTAACCTATGGATTATTTTATTTCAATTATGTCCCTCATGCGACCCGCTGCTGACGTCGACCAGGTCATTGCATGAAATGTCAAATTACGTAACTCAAATACACAAGTGCCTTATAGCATCTTGGTCGTGTTGAAGATTATTAATTATTATCCCTTTCCTCATCGCTGCCAGTATATACTGCAATCGGTAAATTATACTGCAAGCGTTTGAAATCATTTCAAACAAAATAGTGTTGCCTTTTTTAGATCAAATTTTATTGATCAGTTCATATCTTAGATATTAATTTTGCTCGACTTGATGTATAAGAGGGCGTCGTATCTGTTATTAAAAAATATTTTATTTTTCCACATCCTTAAAGATTGTAATTACCGTTTAATTTTTGTCATATGTTAATTTGCCAAACAATGGAAACGACTTAACAGCATATTATACAAAGAACACCATCTACAAAAGCTAAAAGTCCCTTAGTTCAATTTTAAGAAAAAGATTGAAGATTTTACCTGGATTAGTGATTAGAAGGTCTTGTCGCGTTGCCTATAAAGAAAATAAAATAACTGAAATTTTCTAAAATTGGTAACAGTTTCTGACCTTCTCTTCCTTTCACGAACCACGGATTGTCTTTTAATTTGCGCCATAAATGTGACTGGAAATCAGTCGGCTGATATTCAAATAACATGCAAAATATGTATTCGCACTCGATAGATAGTATTACTGAAATTGCCTTCATCAAAGGTTGCAGAATACAGAAATGAAAAGTTGCTGATACAAATATAACATTGCTTTAGTTCACGATATGTGTTTTGATCAATGTTTTTTTAAACAGAG